GTAAGCTTCTAGAATGTCTACATCAAGTTTATTCTCAAAATGAGAATAATAATTTGCAAAAGACTTTATGACCTGTCATGAAGAAAGCTACAAAGGAAGCCTATTACTATTCATGGACAGATTCTCATGACAGGAAACATGATGCTGTCTGATGCTCTATAAGTTCTTACTTCAGTTCCAGAGCTGTGTAGGCCTTTGGTGATGGATAGGCTGAGGTTTATATGTATAGAAAAGGTTACATTGGGGTGGGGCAAAAAGAACATATCATATCCATGGCCTCTATCACAGGAATTATTTGTCTGTTTGAGAGTCCCATTCCCCCCCCCCATTTTTCCTGCGTTTATGCAAGACATCTTGGAAGTCTGCGCTATATTGTTTTCAGGGTTGGTGGCTCTTTACAATCCTCATGTATTTGAGCTTAAAGAAGATGGAAGCTTAAGAGAGAGTCACATTATCATGTTGAAATAGAGTCTGTGGGACAAAAGGATCATTTCTTGTACATTCTGTGTTCTGCCTTTCTCCTGAAAGGACATGAGTGCAGGATTATGACACATGTTTGTTTTCTGCATAGCTAATAGAATACCAGTAGCACAGACAATAATACTGACAATTAATAAATGGGACATCATGAAACTGAAAACTTCTCTAAGTTAAAGGATACTGTCAATAGTACAAAACAGAAGCCTACAGAATGAGAAAAGATCTTCATTATCCCCATAGCTGACAGAGGGATGATATCTATAATCTATAAAGAATTCAAGAGAGTAGACATAAAAAAATACAATTTAAAAATGGGGTATAGACTTAAACAGAAAATTCTCAAATGACAGAACCAGATAGCCCATATCCAGAAAGACAAACATGGTATGTACTCACTCATAGCTGTTAAGTAAAGGATAACTATCCTATATTCCATGGAGCCAGAGAGGCTAGGGAACAAGCAGAGCCTAAGGGGTGGGGGCGTGGATCTCCCAGAGAAAGGGAAATAGAGGAGATCTCCTGGTTGGATTGGAGCCAGGTGAGCATGGGAACTTGAGGGATCCGGTTGGAGGGTGAGCAGAGGGTGAGAGTGCTGAGAAAGATGACTGAAAAGGTGGTCTTTAAGTTGTTGGACTGAAGCCTGATGCAAGGGAACAGCCCCAGCTATGACTCCTGGCAGCAGTGGATGTATAGCCTGAACTGGCCATTCTGTGTGATTGGATTGGTGACTACCCCAGTTATCATGGGAGAGCCCTTATCCAGTGACTGACAGAGGCAGATTCAGAGACCCAGGCAAAACCATTGAGCTGACTTGGGGATTCCTACTAAGGAGGGTAGGGGGAGAGGAATTGTAGAAGCTAGAGGGGTCAGAGAGATCAAACGAAACCCCACAGAAATGGCTAGTCTGGCTTATGAGAACTCAGAGTCTGAACCAACAATCAGGAAGCCTCCATGGTACTGACCTAGACTCTCTGCATATATGTGACAGTTGTTTAGCTTGGTCTATTTGGAGCACTCCTGGCAATGGGAGCAGAGCCGTCCCTTTCAATGAAAGCAGAGCTTTCAATGAATCAGGAATATATTCCTCAAGATTGATTGATTTGCCTAGCCTGAATATAGGGGGAGGTGCTTGGTCTTACTGCAGCCGGATTTGCCATGCTTTGCTAATGCCCATGGGAGGGCTGTCCCTTTCTGAGTGAATATGGAGAAGTGTTCTACTGAGGGGTGGTGGAGGAGGGAAGGTGGGAGGAGGAAGTGGGAGGAGAGGAGGGAGGGAGACTGCAGCAGGGCTGTAAAACAACAACAAAAAACAAACAAACAAAATGGGCTGTACACAAGTTTATAATACATTTTCTTAATTATTGATTGGTGGCCCAGCCCATTATGAGTGGTGACACCCATGGGCTGGTAGTCTTGGATTCTATAAGAAAGCAAGCTGAGCAAGCTATGTGCAAACCAGTAAGCAGTACCTCCCATGACCTCTGAATCATCCCTTGTCTCTAGATTCCTGCCCTGTATGAGTTCTTGCCCTCACTGCTTTTGATGATGAACTATTATAAGGAACTATGATCAAAGTATATTCTTTCATCCTCAAGTTGCTCTTTTGTTGTAGTGTTTTATTACAGCAATAGTAACCCAAACTATGACAAGCTGCTAACAGGATAGTGAGGTATTGTTGTGACAGACCCCACCATGATTTGAGAAGGATTATGAAAGGGCTTTGGATCTTTGGGCTAGAAAAGATAGAGTATTGACAGCTCAGCGGGTTATTCTGCAGGAGCTTGGGAGTAAGAATGTTGAAAGTATTGCTGGAGATGGAGGCCTGGCTTTCAAAGTATCAAAGGTTCAAAGGGAAGCAAAGACTTTAATAAGCAATTTGAGTTAAGAGTCTGTGGTCTGGTTACCTGTGACTGAAAAATTGGCTATGGATTAAGAAGATGCCAGAATTACTAATCTGAAACTTTTTGCTTTGGTGGGATAATGGATGCTGGTCAGCTGGGGCTATGATTAAGAGACCAGCATCATTGAGGTGAAGTATTCTGGAAAATGTTTTCTCAGGGTCAGTATGCAGAAGCTGTGTTTCAGAAGTGGCTAAGGTTGTACCTCCTGTTGGCAACCAAACTTGGTAGTGTAAGAGTCACCTGACTTTGAAATACTGAAGGGGTCTTGCAGAGGACCTTATGCGTGGCACCATGAAGAAAACCTAGGAAAGGCTATGGAAATGCAGCCCAATTGTAGCAGAAGACACCAGCAGTTTTGGAGATGCCAGTACCATGGGGAGGCCACACACACACACACACACACACACACACACACACACACACACACACAAACAAAACAAAACAGCATTTGTTGCCCTCATTTTATTAAAATTTTGTTTTATATTTTGTGATTCAAAAAATTTAAAATATAATTGCATCACCCCCTTTCTCTCTTCTCCCCCAATGCTTCCTGTGCCACCTCACCTTTTTCCAAAACATGGTGCCAACCGTCAATTTCATCCATGATTCCTCCAGTTATGGGGCTTTTCTTGTAACTGAGGCTGAACCTCCATCAGTGAACTTTGCTATCCTCATTTCTGAGACCTCCCTTCTGCCACACAGTGTCAAGTCTCAGATGCTCCCCCATGAGTTCTTCATGCCTTCAGAAACAGTATCTATCACTTGTGTGGCTCCTACCTACATTATGAATGAGATTTGGCCTTGACCTCTTCTGGACCACAGTTTTTGTGTGCTGACCCTAAGGAATTGGTTACTATATTTACAATCCTCAATGATTCTGGTCTCATCTTAATTAATTATAATATCTTAGCTCCAGCTAACCAATATTAATTGTGCCAGTAAAGCACTGGCACTAGCTTCTCATTAATTACTGCTGAGTCTTCAGCTCCAGCTGGACCCTTTCCCAAATAACTCTAGCTTGTGTCAAGTTGACATAAATCTAAGCAGCACAGTTACCTCTTAAAATTTCAAGTTAAGCCCCTATTGTTGAACTCATGACACATTTCAGACACTTGACTGGATGGATTAGAGCTGGATTTGACCTGAAATCCTCGCCCTTTGAAGACTAGTTTTCATAGTATCAGAAGATGCTGTGCAGTCTGCCAAGGGAGGCAATCAACCAACAATCCTACATAGGTGTGCTGCATATGAACCACAACAATGGCTGTCATTAAAAATATCCCTAAAGTATAATAGTGACAGCATATCTAGGTGGTAACTATGTAATTGAACTAAAAACCTGTTCAATAGGAGGAATTCCATGTCTGCTTCTGGAAAGCTAGCCAACTACCCGGAGGTAGTGAAGTCATGGATGCCAGAGCAGTGTATACTACTTCCACTTTATCAAAAAAAAAAATCTAACTCCTACTATATTCTAAATAGTTGTCCTTATCCTTATCCTTATCCCCACATTTAAGTCTAGGTCTTAACCCTCATCAAAGAATCTTATCTTTACAGCAGAGACAAATACAAAAAGCCACAACTAGTCAAATTGCAGAGAACATCTGATCATGAAGTTGCCCATCCTCAATGAATACATTTCTCACACCCAAGGATCAGAGAATGTGGACACGTGGATTAAAAAAAATTCAAAAACAGAAGACCAGAATTTAAGTAATGTGAATTCATATTAATTCATATTTCCTTGCTAGCGAAGGATGTTGAGCATTTAAAACTACTGTTGGACACATGTATTTCTTCTTTGGAGACTGTCTCATAAGTTCATTGGCCTCTTCATCAATAAGCAGTTTTGAAGTTTTTTGGTGATTACATTGTGCAATTCTTTAAATTTGTAGATATCAAACTTCTGTCTGACATATAACCAGCAAAGGCATTGTCACATTCTGTATGTGATCTGTTCTTCTCTGGTAGGCTCTTTGCTATATAGAAGCATTTTAATATTCTGTAATTCCTGTTCTTTTGGGATTCTATTCCAGAATTTTTGCTTATACCAATATTCTGAAGTGTTTTCCCTAGTAGTTTCAGCATTTTATGTTTTAAATTAAGAATTTGGATCTACTTTGAACTGATTTTTATGCAGGGTGTAAGATACAGATCTAATTGGATTCTTCCATTAGTAGTTGTCTAATCTTGTCTGTACCTCTTATTCATTACACCATATTTTTCCCAGTGCACATTTTCACACCTTTGTCCAAAAGGTATTCCTACCCATACAAGTTTATTTCTGTGTCCTCTATTTGGTTCTATTGGTCTACAAGTATGTTTTGGTTTTAGTCCCTCACTGTCTTTGTCAATATGGTTTAGTAATATAGTTTGTGGGCCACGTGCACAAGAAAAGATCCACAGGTAGTTCCCAGGTGCCGTTTCAATTGAGAAGCACTGTTCTCTAGACAGGAGCCATCACCCAAATCACTGTAGAGTCCCCTAGGACTCAGATTGGTGTGTCAGGTCTTTGGTTCCCATAAACCAGCTTAGAGTAGCATGTGGGTGGACACCTCTAAAAACCACTGGGGAACAGTTGAATATCTGAGACTAGGAGAAAACACTCAGTCTCACTTCCTCACTCTTCTTGCTTGGGTTTCCTGTCATCACGGCATGATCATATTTTTTCTCTCTTCACTTCTCCTTTTACACAAATAGACTCAGACTTCTGTGTTACCAGCCTGTGCTGGCCACCTTAAAGATAATCAACAAATTCTGCCTGAAGTACTGAGGGACACTGCATACAAAAGGTAAGACTTATGATTTTAACATCTCTGAACCAGCTAATGTGGGGCACAGCATTTTAAGGGTTCCCGTACATCTCTCTAGTAACTTTAAAATTTCTGGTTTCATAAGTATTCAGATCAGCAGTTCCCTCCGGCAATCAGGATAGAAATCCTTGGATTTATTGTGTTGTCTGATATCTCTTTGTGCCTGAGGTTCCTTGAGCATACATCACTACAGAAGTGAATTGCTTACTGTGTATGGTGGTTTATGATGGTTGAAGTTTTCTGTGTGAGATGAGTATTGAAATGGGGGAGATCTTCTATGGTGTTTGATCTTTAGAAAACTTGAGTCTTTGATTTTTCTTTGAGACAGGGTTTCTCTGTGGCTTTGGAAGTTGTCCTGGAACTAGGTCTCATTGACCAGGCTGGTCTCGAACTCACAGAGATCCGTCTGCCTTTGCCTCCTGAGTGCTGGAATTAAAGGTGTGCACCACCAAAGCCGGGCTCTTGAGTTTTGATTTTAAAGTGTGGAGAGAAGTAATAGAGTGCTTTAGAGCAGTAGCCAAGAGATGCATTGTTTTCATCAGAAAATATTTTATAGGGAAAGTTGGTGCTCTGACTGTCATGCTTTGGTATAAGATGGGGGAAAAATCCAAAACAAAACAACAACAAAAAAACCCTCTACAATGCAGTAGGTGCCCTGTAACTGCACTTTATGATTTTATTCCTAGGTACCTCCTAAGGATGCTTAGTTTGGGGGCTTTTAAAAAGCAATACAAACATTGTGATCTAAAGTACTTCTTTCTCCACATTAACTGATCCTTGATATATGAAGCACGAACACTGATAAATCTCATATAGAGTGGTCAGCTGAGAGGAAACACACAACTTGATACAGCAGTAGTTTCCAACTCATGGAGCAAAACTAATTTCAGGTTGCAAGTATTAGGCAGAGGGATAGTCAAGCTTTGGTTCTAACTTCTGAGACTAACATGGTTCTCCATTGTCAATACAATATGTCTGTCAGGCCTTTCTTGGTCTAGGAGCTGCAAGAAGCTAATTTGATTATGATCTAAAGGAGAGAGAAGAAAGTCCTCTGTGACCACATTTACTTACCTAAAAATCAGGGGAGAGAATGGGGAGATAGTTGCAGCTTACCAAAGTCTCCTTCAGAGGCTAACAAACTCTATAATAGAAATAACAACTAGTTTTTAGTGACCGAAGATAACAATCAAGGGTTAGGCACCTCTTGAAATCTGACACAGGTGATGTGGGTAAGGTGGAGAAATGAGGGAGAAGGGAGGATTTGTACAGTAATAATTATGTCCCTAAAGAACTCTTCTGGGCAATCACACATTTTAGAAGACTGATTCAAAGAATAATTGTATCTGCTGGGTGAGCAGTTTTGCTTTCTCAATCTTAAAACGGAATCTTCACTATTTTGAAACCAGTTGATTAGGAGCAGATACTGAACTGAAATGTGGTTTCCTGTGGGGGATGGTTAGATTATTTCTCTTTTAAACACAATGTTCTCTCACCTTTATACCCACAGGAAATGATCCAAAGTTCAGGCCATCACAGTTACCTTACTACCCCTCAAAGGATATCAGCTTTATTTGTTAACAAGAGACATAGCTAGAAAGGGAAACACTACTGTTTTCTTAGCTTCTTTTGTTCTCTGGTTAGCCTCTGATTGACCAGGAGCCCTCAAACTACTGCTTTCCTTCCCCATTCCCTGCTACTCTACAATGTTCCAAGGGCTAGGCATTGTGCTCAGGTGCTGAACACACAAAGACAGCTTATGTTGTTGTCAATCTCAAAGGGACTACCATGGAGGGCAGACAGAGGGATACACAGAACACAAGACAATGTGCTCTTTTCTATAAAGTAGAGAGAATGTTCACAAAGTACAGGAGATTAGGAGTCTGCCAGAGACTCCTTGAGAGAGAAGAGTGGCTGTTATGAATTTATTATAGAGACTGGGACTATAAACATTCCAGCTACAAAACACTGTATATATGCTCCCCCACTCCCTGACACAGGCAAGACAGGAATGAAATTAAGCAAGAGACAATAGTCACATGACAACAGGAAACACCCAGCCCTTTCTCCTACTTGGTAATTAAAAGTAGATGTCAAGTTTACTGAACAAACAAGTCTTAGGTCTATTTCAGGGCAGAGCTATGCCTGAGACTTAGACACAACAATTTTGATGGAATGTGGCTTTGAGCTGCGGAACAGAAGCATATTTCTTCCTCTTTGATTTCAGTGTTTGTTTTCTTTGATCAGAAGGGTAGAGTTTTTTTTTTTTTTTTTTTTTTTTTTTTTTTTTTTGTGTGTGTGTGTGTGTGTGTGTGACATTATAGCCATTCCCTTTTCCTTTAGTTTCCTTCCAACAACTACTGTGTTGATTTAGTTATAGTGGCTTAAGTTCAGAGTCAGCGTACAGAACTTCTTTATACCCCAACAAACATCTACTGTGTAGTTCACTCTGTGCACTAAGCATCTGTCCTAAGGATGTTATTAGGACTAGCTACCACTTAAGTGTAGACATTAATGTAAAAGAATCATGTAGAAACCAGACATCTGTCTAGATCTGGTCTCCAAAGTTGCTAATATTAGGCACGAGGGCAGTTGGGCACTTGGATTATAAAGACTGTCTGAACAAAGGTTTTGAAAAAGAGAAAAATATGTACTTCCAAAGCCAGCAGGTAAGATCTCACAATATAAGTCATTAATCTCTATGTTGGGCTATAGAGATAAATCTTCTTTACTAATTATCCATTTTCACCAAGTAGAAAAGTAATATGTTTTATTGCAAAGTTCTTTTTGGTTTTAAGATAATAAAGAGGGTAATGATGTCTACTAGGTAGACTGTGTGAGTTCTCTGTATAACTAATCCTAGTTTAAGTAATTACCTTATTTATAATCATCTCTACATGTGCTAGGGGCTAGTAACATCTTGCTAAGCCCCCCAGTGGGAGGAATATCCCTCCACACACTATAATGAGCTTTTTCTTACAAAAGGCAAACAAGTTTCTCGTTAAGCATGTAATTGCTCCCTCTGTTAGGGTATCTCTTTCCTTTCTCTCCTTTTCTGTTCTTCACTCAAATCTACCTTCCTGGTCCCTCATGTTCTCCTCCCTCCTCCTCTTCTCCCCTCCTTTTTCTCCTTCCTCTCTTCCTCATCCCAACATGCTTCCAAATTACTTAGGGGATCTTTTCTCTTTCCCCTTCTTGGGGGTCTATATATGTCTCTCTTTGTGCCTTCCTTTTTCCCTAGCTTCTCTGGAGTTGTGGATTGTAGGCTGGTTATTCTTTGCTCTATGTCTAATATGCACTTATGAGTAAGTACATGATATGCTTGTCTTTCTGTGTCTAGGTGGGGGGAATGGGAGGATAGGAGAAAGAGAGAGAGAGAGCACATTGTATTGTGCTCCATGTACCCCCTATATTTGCCCTCCATCCACTTGCCTACAGATTTCAAGATGTCATTTTTTTTAGCACTGAATAGCACTTCATTGTTTAAATGTACCACATTTTCTTTATCTAGTTTTTGGTTGCGGTCATCTATGTTGCTTCCAGGTTCTGGCTATTGCAAATAATGCTGCTATGAACATAGTTGAATAGATGTCCTTGTGGTATAAATGTGCATCCTTTGGGTATATGCTTAAGAGTGGAATTGCTGGATCTTGAGATAGATTGATCTTCAAACCACCTGGCACTAGGGGAATTTCTGAATCTACAAGGATGATCCCAACAAAGAATCTAAGCAATAATAGAGAGGCTACTTTAAATGCCCTTCCCCTATGATGAGATTGATGACTACCTTAAGTGCCATCATAATGATGCCATCCAGTAGCTGATGGAAAGCAGAAGCAGAGATTCATGGCTAAGCACTGAGCTGGACTCCTGAAATCTAGTTGTAGAGAGGGAGGAGTGATGACCAAAGGGGTCAAGACCATGCTGCAGGAAACCCACAGAGATAGCTGACTTGAGCAAGTGGGAGCTCAAAGTCTTTAGACTGACAGCTGGGGAACCTGCATAAGACTGAACGGGGGGGGGGGTGTTGGGCAGTCTATGGGGATTCTGTCAATGGAACAAGTATTTATACCTAGAGTATGAATGGGCTTTGGGAGCCCATTCCCTATGGAGGTATACATTGTCAGCTAGGTACATGGGGGATGGCCTAGGTCCTGCCCCAATGATATGTCAGACTTTGATGGTACCCCATGGGAGGCATCCTCATCCTTGAGGAGTGGTTGGGGGTGTGTGGGATGGGGAGATGGTCAAGGGAGTGGGAGGACAGGAGGGAACTGGGATTGGTATATAAAATAAGATTGTTTTAATTAAAATAAAAATTAATTTTAAAAAGTCAAACAAAACTTTAAAAGAAGTACTTCCAAGAAACAAAATGAGGAAAAAGGTTATTAGAGCCTTTCTAGCCCCTAGTACATTTCACTCTAGAGGCTTCTCAGGGCCATTCTCTGGATGACTTGATCTTTCACTCAACACTCACTGAACCTCTGGCACTGAACTATTTAGGAAATTCTATCATACTGTCTCTTTAGAACACCTATGAAGGCAATATTAATAGCTGTGTTTAAAGATGAGGAACCTGGAAATTTGATAGCTTATGGAAGTTGCCCAAGGCTGTAATTATGATAAGTCACAGTGTTGCTACTTAAACTAAACCTGATTCTAAAGTCTGGTTTATCAAAACATGATCTTCATGCTTACAACTCAATAAGTCATCTTCGCCAAGTTACACTATTCACATCTGGTTTTTCCATGCCTTGGAACAACTGCAGGTCAGAGATAACTTGCGATCTGACTCCACTTGATCCTACCTGAATAGCAGAAAGTCCACCAAAGCTCTGTGCTTTGCTGAAGCTAACATTAGGCTGACACACAGGCCCAAGTCTTAATGTATCTGTGGAGCATATCAACAAGAGATGATATGCTCTCCCATCAAGGTCTGCCTGTCTTGGCTTGATATGTATTGGCCTGTCAATAACCAGACC